CTCTCTGAAGAAAAATTTCAGCTTTGTTTTGCAGCTTAACTGATGAACTCTCGTATTCAATTTAACAATTACAGTGCAATTAATAAATGACCAGAATAATCTGTATGAATAATGGAAGTCTCCGGTAAAAGTCTGAGGCGATAAATTATTTCAAACACTGGCACACAAAACTGCATTTGTTATCTACAAAAGTCAACAATGAAATATTTAACTTTTTAAAAAGGTTTAAATCTAATAATGTGTTTTGAGACAATAAGTGCATTTTTTTTAAATGATAAGGAATTTTGGTGCTCTCTGATTGGTCTAGACGCCATTTACTGGTGTGTACCTCAGAGTGAGTTCACCTCAAATGACGTTCTGGGAGGTTTATTCGCGATTTCCCTCTCGGCCAACCATAGATTTGCTTACAGCTTTTTCGACCAATCAGATTGCGTGTTTCAAAGCATGTGTCGGTGTGAATGTAAACATGTCAGACGCCATTACCAAGGAAATTACGAACTTTTGAAAGTAAATGGTTGAGTATTTATTGTTTATTAATATTGCTTTTAACATTTTAACTAATATTAATTTAGCTGTTGAAGTATATCAACATGTAAAAAGTGTAATTACACTTTACATTAATATGGATGTTTATATTTGATGGAGACAAGAATGAAAGAGTCAGCAGTGCTGTAAAATTCCTCATCATTTAATAAAACGGTTATTGACTTTTGAATTCGGTCTACTCGTGACTATACAGACCTGGTCAGGTATTGGTTAACCTCGGCCTTCGGCCTCGGTCAACCAATACCTGACCAGGTCTGTATAGTCACGAGTAGACCTCATCAAAAGTCAATAATTGTATAATATATCTTTGCTTTCATAAATTTCTAGATATAGAAATGGTGATTTTTAAAGTGCCTTTTAATTTGCTTAATAAAGTTTCTGTTAAAAGTAATTCGTTTGATATTTCGTCAATAACAGAATTTTATTTTGGATAAAACCCCAATAGAATAGACTTATCAATGCACTAGATTTTCTAACTATAAAGAGGTGATTTTAATGCATAAATTATCAGTCATTATCATAGAAATGAATTCAGAATGACCCCTCACCCCCAAGAAAAAGCTAATCAATCTTGAATGAGGAGCACGTCATTTTGACTATACAACTGTCTTTTAACTTCAGTAGAAGATCCTTATATTGATATGTGATTTTTCCTTTCATGCACCCCTCAATATTTTATGAATCATAAGTGATTATTGGTAAATATACGTTAAAAATATCAATAAAGCTAAACAAAACTCGTAAATAGACATGCGCCATTTTCGGTATTACTATCTACGATATCAGCACTGGAACATACTCTTCGCATTCTTTACACCTGACTGCGTTATTGCCACGGGTATCAGCATGGAATAACGACCCGTTACAGGCACCTGAATTTACTTATTTTTCTTTAAATAAATATACCCCTTCCTAATAATAAACTTTTTAGGTAGGGGTATTTTTTTATTAAAAGAAAATAAGGTAAGGCGCCTTTGCGATCCATGTATGTGCTGACTACCCTGTATTAATTTTCGTTTACATTTTATTGCAGTTACGTGTGTATACTGTACTGACCGATGAAAGTGTTTCTTTGGTATATAGCTCACTGCATAAGAAGAAGGACACCGTTATATTTTGTAGCTACCGAGTGCTTTATAACATTCGTCCGTATACACCGTTGACGATTTATAACAAGTGTGACAAAATTAGCTGCTCGATATATATGGGCCCTCAGATATAATGAGAGATCAATCTAATATGGATCTAATCTAATAATGTTTCGATCAATTATTAGCAGCAAATGTTCCATGTGTAATTAAAACCACTTCAGGAAAATTAAACTTATATCTTAGCGTATTACCAGTAAGTGTATTTCTTTTCCATCGTGATTTTTAAATAAATTGATTTATTTTTAAATGATATTTATGAGTAAAAATATACGATTTTGACGTTTGTCTTTACCTGTGATTTGTGAAAACTATATTTACCAATAAAGAAATGATGATGCCAGAAACACATTTATCTTTGGGGAAACTTAATAAATATTAGTTGATTTGAAATAATCTTGTGGTATTGATCAAATGTAGGCCTGAGATAATTATTTTTAAAAGCGAGAACAATAAGAATACAGTAGGGATACCTTATTGCAAATAAATATACACGAAGTAAATAAGTTGACTCCCTTAAATTTAGATTGAAATATGAATAATCAACAAAATACTCCCAAAATTTTGGAAATTCTTTTTTTTTTCAACAATTTGATCATTGGCCATACATTTAATGTATTTACTGGCTTGTACGTAATGTGTAAACATTTTATTGCTTTGTCAAAACCATTATAATCAGATGTTGACAAGAGTATAGAGCTTCATAGGGTGTAGCTTTAAGAACTCCACTTGAATGAATAATTTATTAAATATTTTTACTGAATAATTATTGTAAATTTGCAGAGGATCACTGCAGTTAACAATAGATTAAAATTACAACAAAATAAATTTTAATAAACTAATAAATTCTTTTGAGAATACAGATATTGTCAATATCTCAATGTTACATCATCAATAAAATTTGATTTGATGGGTATTAATTTTATAGTTAAAGATAAAGCTTCATCAGGGCATCGCTTTAAGAACCCCACTTGAAATAATATATAAATGAATATTATATAGAGTAATTATACGTTCGCAAATCAGAATAGTCGATGTCTTATTGTATTAAAATATTAAAGATAATTTGTTCTGATGGGAACCGTATAGTATAGAGTTTCAATATGGCATCACTTTGAGAACCCCACTTGTATGAATAAATAAATATTTTCATAGAAAAATCACTGTGAGCAAACAAAGGATGTCAGTACTTTACAACGGATGAAAATGGTAACAAAACAAATTTTGATAAACGAAAAAATTCCTTTGGGAAAACAGGCTTACAGACAGGTTTTTTTGCCATCACAACTTCTTGCATCTCAGTAGGATAAGGACCCCTACTTTTAATGTTTTACATGTAGGGCATGTGAGTGGACATTAAATGAGATAAAAGTTAAAAAAATATGGTCTATAACTGTTTCAAAAAACTTCTCAAGAACCATGTACCATAGATATGCAGATATAACAAAACTTTTTAGTCAGAAAAAAGTTTTTCAAAATGTGTCAGAAAAAATATTCAAATCTTGGTCCACCCATAGCATATGCTAAATTAGGGAATAATAAATATTACTTCGGAAAAATCTTTTGAATTTTTCTCTATACAAGGCAACAGGACCATCGGAATGTAGGCATGTAATGTAAATTCAAAATTGTTGATTTGATTGATTTGAACATATTTTATTGTGAAATAATTGCAAAGGGATTGAGCACAAGAACTGAAAACTTATAACACCCTCTCCCTATACATTTAAATTACAGATTTATATTGTCACAGTTAAACATTCTATATAAAGAATTCAGTATTTGCAAAAGTAAACAAATTGATGCTTTTTGCATATATGTATAAATATATAAAAAGTTGAACAAATTCATATATTAATATTGGTACAGTATTTAACAAAGAAATCTACCAGAATGCTTAATAAATGTTTGAACAAAAGAAAAGAGACGTTCATTCTCTGCAGCATTCGGTGAATCAACCCCCCTAATAAAACATGTGCATCAAAATTGTTGAAATCGAGGTCCCATTGGTAGAGGGCATATATTGGGATATCGGCATATAATTGGACAACTTGATTTTTTTGTCAATCAAACAATAATATTTCTTAATGTACCTCAATTTTGACAAAGAAAACAAAGTTTTTTTCATACCGAAAATTATTTGCATACATTCAAATTATATTGCAAAAAGAAGATTCTTGCAGCTACTGTGAAATATAAGAGGAGTTCCTTGGAACTTGGTTTCTGTAAAAGGGACATTTGACCCACCGACAAAGGGTGAAAATAAAAATCCCTAAACCTTTATGGATGCTCATGAACATAACACAATCATATTCAAAAAGATAAGCGGATTACAATTATTTAGTGAGATGGGTTCAATGAAGAAAGTGTAAAAGACGAAGGATGAGAAAAAACACTATACCTGAATTAACAAACTTCTTGTCGAGCTGATTAAATGTGCGCTGACGATGTGCATTCAGGATTTTTATTGTCATATTGGGGTAATAAACTGATAGTTTTGAAAATTATAAAATTCTATTGCCTCTTCAGTTCTTTCAAAAATATAATGGTGAGAACATTTAGAGGAAAATACCAAAGTGCGGGTAACACTATGTAATGATAGCACCTAGTTGCTTTTTGGGCTGAAAGCATGTCAGATGTTGCTTAGTCTGATTTATGAGCAATTCACACAAGCACTTGTTTCGGTAAAATATCTCTAACTCATACTATAATAATAGTTATACAATGGGTAGAAAAATAATTACCGACATAAGTGCCTGATCATGAGGTAATACACACGAGTAAATAATTCATTCAGACCTTGCAATTGCGAATGACCTCTTTATAGAGATTTGCATCTTCTTAACCTAAAAAAGACAACCACAGACTGATCGGATTATACAGAGGTTCAAAGATACGTGTTCACTTACAACAGATGCATGTTCTTTTTAGATTATCAGATATAATGTTTTACATAATGTTTTACATTTAAATAATACATCCAATTTTCATTTGATTTTCTCCTGTGGTTTACCAATCATGTAGAGGAATCTAATATAACTTCTGATTAATCGTGTACATGTATTCAATCGATTTGCTTTATAGATAATAGAGTCATTTCAATATCCAAGGCCGTCATTCTCTATGTATGGGTTGATGAGCTCCAAAATTTAAAAGCTGTAGAAAATTGTGACACTTAAATGAAAATATTGACAAATTTATAAAAAAAATAAAAAACTATGAAAAGGAGACCTTGACAATCAACTTTGGTTGGTTAATCCAGTTGACAGGAATTGATACTTAACGGGCAGCTTCAGTCGGAAGGCATTTGAAAGTAAACAGGCAGCACAATAAACAGGCGTAATAGCCAGGAACATGTACGTAGAGTATTGTATTCTTATGGTATTGTGTCTGTTACAAGGAGCGGTGTCAACAGGTGAGTCAATGGTATTTAAAAAAAAGAATAAATTCTTAAAGTTTATAAAAAAGGGAAAAATATTGTAAATATTAACTTTCATCTATAAGTAAAATTAAGAATGATTATTAATTACAAAATTCATTTTTGATTATTAATTAAAAAATTCATTTTTTAACTGTTCACTTGTCTTTGCATATTCATAAATCAATTCTAGATTTATTAGAGAATTAAAAACGATGGATCTAAATATGATTAATATATTTAAAGAGATATATTTATATAATTTAATTTTGTTTTTATTCTCGCCTCTCATTGGTTGATTTCCAAAAAGGAACGCAAATATTATTTTGTATAATCTGGTTTGGTATGGAGACACACCTCCTTGACGACCAGCTTAATCATCTTATTTATGCACCCAGATAGCATGACTTTGTTGGGCCAACACTGGTAAAAGGTTGTATGGTTGGAGTTGGGGGAACAACGTTGGGCCAACATTGGACCAATGCTACCGTGTCAACCTTCTCGACCATGACAGAATTCCTATGTTGGCCCAACGTTGGTCCAATGTAAGCAATTTCCATTCCCTTTACTTTCCAAGGAAGGAAGGATGCTGACGTTGGCCCAATGTATATAATACAACCTTAAAGAAAGTGTCTTTTCAAATTGGTAGTTGTATGTTGGCCCAACGTTGGTCCGATGTTTGTAGTACACCCGTAAAGAATGTGTCAAATCAAGTTGGTAGTGGTATGTTGGCCCAAGGTTGGCCCAATGTTTGTAATACACCCTTACAGAAAGTGTCTTATCAAGTTGGTAGTAGTATGATGGCCCAACGTTGGCCCAATGATTGTAATACACCCTTACGGAAAGTGTCTTATCAAGTTGGAAGTAGTATGTTGGCCCAATGTTGGCCCAATGTTTGTAATACACCCTTAAAGAAAATGTCTTATCAAGTTGGTAATAGAATGTTGGCCCAACGTTGGCCCGATATTAGCAAGAGTTTTATTCTGTTTAGGTGTTTCAAAGATGGGATATTTATATTGGGCCAACGTTCGTCCAATTATTATACTGCCAACTAAATGATGTTGTCAATTTTATAATAAGCTGCTGAGCTTTACGTTGGACAACTTTGGTTCCAATTATAATTTAGATGCACATTCTGAAATAATTAAGATTTTAAGATGAAATATATTCTATGTCCATGTTTTTCATTGGATGATTGCTTTTGTTTAGATATGATATTTTCAACATTATAACTTTGAACATAAGTGATCACAGCACCAAAGAGTGTTTTATTCTATTTTTTTTTTGCATTGTGTGCATGCTTATTTATTTGTAATAAAACGCTTAAAATTATGATTTTTTTCATGAGCGTGGTATTCATGAGAATTTAGAGAAGACTGAATAAATGTTAGTTAAAAGTTCTCAGGAACAGGATGTGAATCCCAGATAGCAGAAAATCGTTGTTCCAATCTTACATTATGTTTGTATTATCGTTGTTGGGTTACCTTTATTAGGCCAACAATGGTCCAACATGGAATATTGATAGTTGGTTATGTATAATGGGGCCAATGTTGGGCTAACTGTTGGCGTTATATCATAAAACTATTATCGTGAAAGAAAATATTGTTGGGAGATTGGCATCGGCCCCATGTTGGCCCAATATACCATGAATCTGACTGAACATCATGGGTAGATAACATCCGGGCTACTTGTAATATCCGCGCCATTTTTAATCTGACACGAGCATAATGAGACTGATGCCTTGCATATCTTCATCCACTTTGTAAGTATTTATAATATGTTTGCTTCGACACAGCTTAATTAACGTTTATAGTTTAAACGATATCGTGTACAAATCTGTGTAAATCAGTGCAGAGGCCAGGTACTGTTGAGTCAACACTGTCCCAGATAGCATGCTAACATTGGGCCAACAGTGGGCCAGTGTTATCGGTTATATTGGGCCAATGTTGGCAAATGACATTGGCCCAATGTAAGTTTGCTTATCGGCCCAATGTTGGCCCGATATGTTGTGACAACGTTTTCCCAATTTAGAGTGTTATTGCTACAGATATTGGCCCAACGTTGCGACAACATTGTCCAATTGAATGCGACATTGGGCCAATCTTGGCCCAACGTCAACAAGAACATTGGGCCAATGTTGGCAAATGACGTTGGCCCAGTGTCATTCTGCTCATTGGCCCAATGTTGGCCCGATACATTGGACCAACATTGGGCCAATGTGTATAAACATTTGATTGTTACAAATCTGTATATTAACAAATCTGATGGTCTCTAAAATCAGAATAAATCTACTACAAATCCTTCTTGAAAATACAAGTTAGCTAAAATAAATTTACAAGGCTTGTTAAAATCCTTAAAATTTATCAAAACAAAATAAATTATCAGTGATTAAATTTATTGTTTCTATACAAGAAAAATAAATGAAAGTATAAAATAACAAATGTGTTTTGATACAGTTAAAACAATAAATAATTGCCCCTTATTTAGATTGAAATTAGTAGAATAAATTTCCGAAGTCTACCACTCATTTTACTTATATACACTTAAAGTCGAGCACATGATCAAACATGTTGAAAATCTTGAACATGTTGTTGAAACAAAATTTATTCTGTACTAAAACATAAATTGGATTCTTTCATTTAAAATGTGTTCAGTGTACTAACAAGTTTTCTAAACATGTATTTTACTTTGAATAATGATTTATATGGGGCAACATTGAATGTCAATGTGATAATGATGATAAAGTGTAGAAATTTTATGCATAAATGCCTTTATCACGCAAGCTAATCGCTTAATCACACCATGAAACAAAAAAGACGGTTATTCCTAAATTGACAGCTTCAAAATATAGTGTTATACTTGTAAATTTAATCGTATGTTTACTCTTTACTGAGAAAAGTAACAAATGTATTAAGTACTAAATACTACACTTTTAGTGCTACTGGAGATTCTAAAAAGACGTTGAGAACACAATCAAAGATGGATAAGGTATAACAAGGACAGGGATAAGGGAGGAAGAAACGGACAGAGAAGAAAAGAAGGGGGGAGACTCTGGAGAGAGAAGAGGAGACTTAGGAGAGGGATCAGATTGAACGTGGCAGTGCCTAACTTTTTTCTGTTATATACTGTGACATTCCTGTAGTGCCAGAAACATTTTTTTGTGTAAGTAAACAAAATTGCGGGATTCATTTTAGTATTATTTTGAGAACAGGATGGGTTTGTTTATTTTTTAGATGTGCTTATTGATACCTGCAATTTACTGAACTTGTGCATAAATTTACATCACAAAGGGATTATACAATCATGTAACCCTACATGTTTCGCATCAAGTGAGCATCAACTTTCTGTTCCTTATTAATGTTTTCTTCATGCATTGAGCAATAAAGTATTAGTATGTTATAATGCAATTTTATATTCTGATTTCTTTTTCCTCATTTTTTTTAATTAATGTAGAGCTACTTACAATGCAATACTTGTTGATGGTAATTCTTAGAGATATTGTGAATATGTATTAAACTATTAATCTAGCATAAATATTATATGGTATTAAAGGGCTTTTACCATTAAATTGTACTACAAAACTACTATAACCTTATTATATATAGTTTGTTATTCAATTTTGAGGACAAATAACCAACCAGTGAAGAAAAATGAGTTGTCCTGATGGAGAGCCAATAAGATACAAACCAACAATGGACCGAAAACGGTGTTTGCCTAATATTGAAAGAATAATTGGCCCAACAATGGCTCAATAATATCCGTTCGTTGGTCCAACAATAAGCCAACAAGTTGGTCTGATTAAGGGCCGATGAGCAAATTACCGTTGGCCCAATATTAATGGCTTACAATGGCCCAACTGTACAAAAATGACGTTTGCCCAACATTGAAAAAATACACTGGCACAACAGTGGCCCAATATTAACTGTTACATTGGCCCAACAGTAAGCCAACAAGTTGGTTTGATTAAGGGCCGATGAGCAAATTACCGTTGGCCCAACATTAATTGCTTACAGTGGCCCAACTGTACAAAAATGACGTTTATCCAATATTGAAAGAATACATTGGCCCAACAGTGGCCCAATATTAACTGTTACATTGGCCCAACAGTAAGCCAACAAGTTGGTTTGATTAAGGGCCGATGAGCAAATTACCGATGGCCCAATGTTGAATACATACGGTGGCCCAACATAAGGAGCATTGTTGGCCCAACAAAGGTCCAATAACATCCTGCTATCTGGGCAATCCCCCCATGGAAAATTCCAGATTTCATAAATTTACCTTTAACTTCAAACAGTTACTCGATCTTACCTCATGTAAACAAACATCATGGCTGCAGATCTTTCTATCAGTTATTACCTCCCCTTGCTTCCCATCACTTCCGTTACTAAGGTTGTATTATTGCGCGGTGAATTTGAACTCATAAAAAGCAGCAACATTTTACACCCAAAATTGTTTTATTTATTTTGAAATTAAATTATAAGGAATGACTAATTCTTGGCCAAATTATCGAATATAATCTGGTTTGGGTCAGCTTTATAATCCGCCAAAAAGCTTAAACTGATCCAAACCAGATTATACTCGATAATTTGGCCAAGAATTAAAGTCATTCCTTAAATAGCTTGTGTGGTGTACAGTTTTAAGTAATGTTTAGTGGATCCCTTTGTCCAACATTTCTGGATCGGTTTTTACTCTTGAGAAAAGATGGAGATCATTTTGGTCATGGGTTATTTAGGGTAAAGGTCAAACGTTTCTGACCCAGTAACTCCAAAGTCACTCTTAATTTTTCTTAACTTTTCCAAGTCCCAAGACTACGACTATAATTAATTTAAAAGGTGAAGATAACGGACACTGATCAATCTCAAAAACCTATTAACAATACAGGCTCCAAGACCATATACTGAGAACAGACTTAAGTCAAAATTTAGATTTTTAATATCTTCGCTTTTTATTTAATGCATTTGTTTAACAATTTGCAATGTTGTAAAACATTTTAATTC